TTTGAAAATGTTTTATTTTTAATAAATTTCTATGTTGTTTTCCTATACACAATAAATTTTAATGTTGTTTTAGATGAACTACTTTTGCCTCATATGAAGAAAATAGATGGCATGCTGAATGATAACCGAAAGAGGCTTCTTTTGAACCTTCATTTGGATCAGTCATTCAAGGTATGTCCTCAATAACAAAACTCAGTTGCAGTCGTGTCAACTTAGAAGGAAATTTTATGAAAGTCATTCTTAGTTTTTAAAAATTTCACTTAACTAAGTTTTGGCTTTTGTTTATTATAAGTCTATATAGTGTGTCTTTTTTTTTTTTTTTTTTTTATATAGTGTGTCTTTTTTTTTTAAGTAAATTCATAGTGTTAATTATTTGCTTTGCTCTGCTTAAATGATCTCTTTCAGACATTTATATTAGTCTAAAATTTCTTCTGTACATTAAATTTAAATTATTTCCACAAGTACAGCTTTTAAACTGCCCTATTTCAATCTTGTTTTTCTTTTAAACCTTTGTAAAAATTTCACATTTTATCTATAAAATTTGCCTTATTACAGTTTTCAAAATGCTCTTTTTTTGAGTAATTTACTCAATAACATAGGAAAGTTGATTCTTACGTACTAGTAGGAGATAGATATGTAATCCTATCTACTAATGTATTTTGGCACTATTAATTGAACAAATTGTTATTCTCAAATCAGAAAACCTGTCAAGGAAGCTAACTAGTATTTGATTATTTTCTAACTTTTATTACTAAATACATCCACATCTGAAATCATTATCTTGGGAGAAGCTTTGTATTAATGGTGACAATGTTCTGTGTTTGTGTAATTTTTCACATCTCTTATTTTATCTGGCATCACATAAAAGTAAGTATTGACTTCATTTTAATTAGGTGAAAATTGAGCTCTGAGACTGATTACAAAGTTAAACAGCATCGAGCTGTGCTCATATTAGTAATTATATACTAGAAGGGGGAAAAACAAAAAAGAGAAAATAAAGCCAGAAGCTGGTAAGAAGCTTAGTACAAAGAATATGGTCTCCTGACTCCTAGTCTAGTGTTTCCTACTTGACTATAGCCTTGAAATTGAATATTCTTTGGCAAAACACTGTTATTTCCTGTAAGCAAGGGAATATAGTTATATATTTTATAAATATTTACTGAGTCTTAAAAATTAATAGATTTGGCTAGCATTTTAGAAATGTCAAATCTACCAGTTGAAATTTAATAGATTCAGTAGACATTTAAAATTTATACAGTAGTTTATGATGAACAAATGAAAACTTGATTACAATTACTGGACCTGAAATTTTTCTTATTAAAGCAGTTGCATGTCAAACCCAAATTGCACAATATTAAAAGCTAGAATGATTTGTCCATAAATATGACATATTAAAAATAATAGATAATTAATAAAGATTTTTTATTCTTTAGATGTAGTTGCCACCATTTCCCATGATGGTCTTGGAGATTTCAGAAGTCTTTAAAAGTTACAGTGCTGTATTTTCCTCTAAAATCCTTCTACTTCAGATCATCTTTAGTATCTTGAGCTTCAGTGGAAAGATAACTTATATTTTCTTCTTTTTCTCCATTGACTTAATATTCAGAATCCATTTCTAATCTTTATATGCTATTTATTATAAAGTATATTTGAATCAAAAAAATTCAATCCTTGTTTTAAATGGAAAGTACCAGAGTATATGGTAAATTTACAAATAATCTGAGAGTAAAAGAAGCTACAAATTAATGATAACTCACTCTGATAGGAAATATAAAAATTCCTATTGTTTCTAGAAAATGAATTTAGTCCCCTTCTACATTTGTAGCTAAGAAAGATGCATGTCATCTGTTTGTTTGTTTGTTTTTTTATTTTAAAGTCCCTGTTTGTAAGGTCACAATACCAGATGCGAGAAATAATGTATGTGTTTAGTTAAAAGAGTGGTCTTGAAGGTTGGAATTGTTTGCAAAACAGTTGAGTTTATGAAGACTACCTTCAGAATCATAAATATAATGGAAGTACTTTGACCCTTTAGGGTCACAATACATGATACTAGTAGTTCAATTTAATTTTATAAAACTACATGCATTTATCTAAAGTGTCATTCGGTTATTATTGTTTGTAGCTTTTTGTGTTAGTCAAGTAGGTAAATGTATAAATAAATAGTGCCAGGGACAACAACACTAATAAGGTATGTTTGCTATGGAATGGTCAACCATTCAAGATCAAGAGGGCAACATTTACCAAATGATAAAGTTCCAAAGGGTTGAGAATAAGGAAGGAATGGAAATAAAACCCACAGGGAGGAAGTAGGATAACTTGTTACGTGGAGCAGATCACAAGCATTGAGATAATCAGTTGTACACCCAACAAATCATACACCCTGTTTTATCTACTCTGGAAACTTCTCACTTCTCAAAAAAACTTCACTCACTTCTCAATAAAAAGTTTTGTTTTTTAGTTACATAAAAATAAATAAATAATACCAATAACTTGTAAACTGGAATTGACACAACCACACTACTATCAGTAATAGTGTGTCATATTGGTCAGAAAACTCTACCTAGAAATTTATAAAATAATACATACACTGAACTCAGTTTACTGACTAAAACTTTATAATTAAAAAGTCCAGTACTATCCAAGAGTTTAGTTGTATTTGGGAGTGTGGGGGATCTGTAGGAAAAGTACTGGACTGCTAACCTCAAAGTCTGTGATTGTACCCACATCTGGAGAAAGATTTCCAGCTTTAGAAACCCTCCCACCAATCTACTCAATAGAAATTAACAACAAGGTTTGTATTCATTATCAATGTACAGAATTTGAAGGATGTTAAGCTTGATCCACACTGTTTGGACATAATAGTTTTTACTGTAGCAGAAGATAGGCTATAAACGATAATAATGGAAATAAATAATATAAGGCACTGTGATCTTATTTACTGGTTGTAAAATTTCAATACTAGTTTTTATAGCCGACCTCTGTTCTACAGAGGGAGAAAGATGAGGCTTTCTGCTCCCACAAAGATTTAAAGCCTCGGAAACCCCGTAAGAGTTGCTGAGTCGGGAAATGACTCAACGGCACTTAACAAGAACTACAATGATTTGTTGGAAGTAAAATTGATAACTCTGTAAAACTTCACTCAATTCACAATAAAATAATTTTTAAATTACATAACAGTAAATAATGCCAGTAGCTTTCTAAAGAGTGAACTGGGTGCCACATGACAACACTACTACTGTAATATCATTGTGTCATTGTGGTCAGAAAACTTGAGCTCTGGTTCACCTTCAAAAAAAGCAAGAGAAGTGGTGAAGCAAGAAAAGCATCACAGTGCTTCTCATTGTTGTCTGTTCTCATTGTCATCCAGAATGACTTCTTTCTAGTAGAGACGACTGAGCTTCAGTGTCAGCAGTGGTTTCAACTGACAGAGCTTTGTATAAACTTATATATACCTTTCTTTCCCCTGCCTATAAAGCCAGAGAGGTATTACTTAAAAGAGCTCTCAGCCTTGCTCAGGAGTCCCACAGTACGGCATACTACTGTTAATGCAGGAAAGCCCAGATTCAAGGACTCCCTGTCTTGATGGGAAGAGGTGCAAAAAATTTATGACCGTAATTAATTTATTACACTCCAACAGTACGCCCCCACATGAGTGTGTGTGTGTGTGTTTTATATGTATATATTTACTTCATATATATATGTTAGATCCAATCAGTACCGTACACATATGTATCTTTATTAATATATATCCATTTAATTTATATGCATATGTTTTTTCTTTATACATATACATGTTTGTTTTTAAACAACTTTTAATAATGAAGTTATTTAGATTTGTTTTCTTCTGATGTTAATTATTTTGTTTTGTTGTTTTGAAGAATGCTTTGGAAAGTTTTCCTGAACTGACAATAATTACTCGAGACTCTAAAGCCAAAAGTGGGGGATCTGCTATTTCTAAAATCAAAATGAATGGCAAATCTTATAATAAGAAAACTCTAAGGACTTCCAAAACAACTACTAAGACTGTACAAGTAAGTAAATATTGTTTGATATAACTCAGTTTTTCTTATTTGTTAATATAATTCTATTTAAAACATTGAAATAAGCAAATATTTTATACTGTTAAGTATGAAGTCTTTTCAGATAGGAATGAGCAGCTCTAGACTGAGGAATAGGAACTCAATCTTCTTTTTGTTTATCCCAGAGCCAACCATAGTATCTGGCATATATAGTAAGTGTGCCCATGCTTATAGATATACATTTTCAAGGTGTTTTTTTTAAATGGCTACACATCCAAAGTAGATTAGATATAGTTCCATATGTGCAAAATCATTATAATTCATTCATCTTCAAACACAAATTATTAATAGCCTTTGCACTAAACTGTTTGGAAACAATTGAATAGCTAAAGCTGTACTTGGTAGAAACATGTTCACAGACACATTTTAAAAAGTGGGTATGCCTTTGCCATCGCAGAATTATGTATAAAATTAATACAGTTATAAACCAGTGTGAGACTGGATCAATAAAGAACCATACAGACAATATATTACTGTTTGCTTTTGAAAACAAGAGATTGATTCATCCTTTAAAAACATGTTTTGAATGCCAATATTGTCAGGTATGGTTCTAAGTACTAGTGAATAACAACAGTGAGAAATAGTCAACAATCCCGGTCCTCGTGTAACTTATATTCTGGGGAGGGGAGGTATGGATATATGTAATAAATGGAAAGATAGCCAACTTTTAGTAAGGTAAAGAAAAAAGCTTACAAAACAATGTAAATAGTATAATTCCCATTACAAAAGAGAAAAACATGGGTGAACATAAAACTTGCTGTTACATAGATAAATTTTTGAAGCAAGGGATTATACAAAGCTTTTAGTATATAAATTATCTATATAGATGTTTAAAAAATTTTTTAAATAATGTGTATTAAAGAAAAAGAATAAAGATTTTTAAAATACAGTTTAGATTATTCTGAATACGCCTCTAACTCATATTAATACAAATTAACATCTACCCAAATAAGTCATTTTTATGATTGTCATTGAAACTTTTAGTTTAGAATTTTCCTAAACAATCGATGCTTCATAAAATATATCTATAAACTTTCTTCTTTTTATAGGAGTTTGCTGTAGATCCAGAGAAAATACAGTTGTATTCTTTGTATCATTCACTCCATCATTATAAATATCATGTATATCTGATATGTAAGGATGAGGTAATCTCTTTATTCTTTTTTTTTTAATGTATTTTCAGAACTTTCAGTAGACTTTTGCTATATTGTTTTTAGTACTTTAAAGAGAATTGTGAAAAGGATGTGTTTCCCATATTGTGTTAATAATGACTAGGGGATTTATCATTCTGATCCTTTTCTCTCGTGTCTTTGTTTTGTTTTGCTCAGATTGACATTGACCACATCTTGTAGGAGCTATAATTAATTGGTAGTAGTTTTCAGCTGCTGGTGGTTGCTTTCGTTGCTGCTGTTAAGCATGTGGAGGGCTCAGTTGGCAAAAAATGAATAGTGTGTGCTTTAGTTATGTAAAAAATGCAGTAATTATAGAGAAATGTCTTTGTGCCTTGACATGAAGGAATTTAATTCTAACTTTGTTGTTGTTAAGTGAGGTTGAGTCGATTCCAACTAGTAGTGACCCGGTGTAGGGTTTCTTAGGAATGGCTCGTGAGTTTGAACCACCAAACTTGGCAGTTTAAACCTACCTTGGGGCCCAGTGTTTAACATATAGCGCCACACCAGAACTCTAATTTTAGCTTTAGGTGTCATAAAGAATAGTTGCTCAAAAATTATATATGACATTAATACCACCTTTGAATAGTATATTAAGCATAATTTCCTTAGGCAGGTTAAATGGTTGTAGATAGTACTTATACTGCCTTATCTGATCAGCACTGTCAATATTTGAATTAAACAAAATTAGGTTGGTCCAAAACCATATCTGATGTGTTTGACAGCGGTGTGGAAAGATGTTCATAAATCCAGGTGTTGTCTAGCAAAGGAGAAAACAAAGGACAGGACAGTGATATAAAATACATTGAATATTTTTACAATGCTCTGAAATGCAGAACTTACTCCAAAATTTGTTATTTAGCTTTTAAGACAATTGGAAGGAACTGAGATGTTTGACCCACTTTTTCTAGTTTTTACCTCCCCAGTGGAGTCAAAGATGGAAGAATTAGTCTTTATCCAAGTATATTGGAAATAAACATTCTCCACAGAAGGGATAATTTTTAAAAATTGTGTTGCTTATAGGTGAGTTATCATTCCTCTTTTCATTTGAGGTATAGAGAGAATAAGCCCTTTTAGAATTTAAGTATGAGATGATAAATTAATGTGACAAATTTCTTTATTTTAGATTTCTTCTGTGCAAAAAAAAAATGAAGATTTAGGACAGGAAGAAATTGTTCAACTTTGTATGAAAAATGTAAAATGGGTAGAAGATCTATTTGAAAAATTTGGAGAACTTTTGAATCATGTGCAGCAGAAATGTTCTTAATGTTTCCACAAAATTCCATCTCATAGCACTAGTGAAATGGCAGAGGGGTGGTCAAAAAGAGGCTAGATCTTCAGCTGAACGTTAAGCAGTGATACACAGCTGTGCATGCTGCCATCATGGGATTTGCATCATAACCTCTGCTAATGGACAGTGGTGCTGCCAAGAAAGGGAGTCAGTCCCATCACAATTTTATCCGAATGAATGATTTTTTCTATTTAGTAAACCGTTGGGTAAATTGAGTTTTACTTTCAGAAATATTTTTTTGAAGCATGCATTAAATATAATTTTTCTTTATTGCTGAAGAGATAACACTTGATTTTTTTCCTCCCTTACTCTGGCTAAACACCAGGATGATAGAGAAGTGGCAGAAAGCATATATTTGCATTGTCTTGCCACAAGATGGAAGTATTGTACATTATGTAAACAAATCTGGTATGACGTGACATTCTGTATGAGAAGATCACCAATTTAAAATGTAAAATTCAGAAATGGCATTCTGCTTTATGGACTCGTGTTACTCTTACCATGTTCAGGGAACTGAATGTGGAATCGGTGCAATTCTATGACTGCTTTTTGTGTCAAATTATATTGTGATGAAAACAAAAACAATGACATACTATTTTTCCTTGTCTCAAAGAAAAGTATTTTCCTTTATACTGTGTTTTTTCCTTTGGAAAAAATTTCCAATTGTACATTTTATCTAATAGATGTATTTTTCATAAGGAAAATGTGGTTATAATTATGTTTGCTATAGTACACGTTTCATCATTTTAGTAAATCTAATTTAGTTATATGTTGAACTTCTATTACCTTGAAGCGTAACCATTTTTGTTGATACAGATTTGCTTCAGTGTTAATCCAGAATATGCATTCAGTACTAGAATTAGTTTAGCTTTATAAATGAGGCTGTTAGACACTGCAATAATTTTTAATTCATGAAAATAAATTTATTACAGAACTAGCACTTGATTAATTGATTTGTTGAAGTAAAAATCTAACCACTTTATACATTTTGAAGAATAAAATTGATAATTAGACTGTGTGCAGTGTTAAACATAGCTTACAACTGGAAGTGGTGGAGTTCTCTTTTTGGTGCCTTTCCAACCTTTATATACTTCTATTGTAGCTTCCTTTAGTTCACTAGTTAGCTATTCCATTAGTTTAGCTCAGACAGTGAATGTATTAGGTTCAACATGACCTTGTTTTTATTTGTTTGCCAACCAGATGCCTTATTTTTCTTTTGGGAAAAAAAAATTGTTACCGTCATTCTAAACTGTTTCCATTTATAGGATTGTAAAGAAGCTGTTAATCATACTTTTGTTTATTTTACCACCATTTAGTGCCTTAAGCCCTTATCAAGAAAGCAGTATTAACTGCTTAATACCCAAATAAGACATGTATATGTGGATATTGCTATTGTCTTGATTTTGAATTAACAGCCAACTTCTTATAACTTAAAACCTCAGTAAACTAGTAGCACAGAATTGAAGGTAACATGTGACTTCACTTAAGCGAATAAACAATGTAGCATTTGAGATGAAAAAATATTTGGATTTGAGTTAAGCTTTAGGTTTACGTACTTATTTCTGATGGTTATCTTGTTAAAAGCAATAATCCTTGATACTTGTACCTGCTATTAGACAGTAAAATACTCAATAATGGAAGTTTCTTTCAAGAGTTAAAGGTTCCATTTATGAAAGATTTTTAAAAGACTTGCGTGGGCAGATTATTTTGAAAACAGAAGTAGCCTATTAGATTCATTTTACCTGACTCATCCAAGAAATCCAGACTATCAGCAGTGGGAGCATCCTAAAATTATTTTTGCTAATGGAGAAGAGTAGGAAGCAGCCATATTTCTTTCTGATAGTACTGACTCTGGACAGAATTGGTTTCATTCACTTCCAAAGCACAGAATAAAACTACATCTTCTAATGTAGTGTTATAAGTATACGTCTTTATTACTCCCCAGTTTACTTTACTGACTCATTAGTGGTTTAAATATTTTCAAAAGCTGCCTTGCATTTAGGTAACTTGAAGTGGATGTTTAAAACTACTAGCCACATTTTCTTCATGATAAGCCCCATGAAAACAAAAATGTTTATTGTTTCCTTTAGAAAATTAACACATTTCCTTTTGGACTCAGTTGCCCTTAAACTGTTGGCAGTTGTATTCAATTTTGTAAAACAAGTGTTTTCATATTATCAGAGGCCATTTCTATGATTCTGCTACGAGAAGACGCTGTTGTTCAGTTACATTGTCTTCTCTCATTTGGTCCATATTACGTAAGACTTTAAACATCATCCTCAGACCTTAGAGAAAAGGGAGACACTTTTGACAACCATACATGAGTATTCTCTTTGTATGAAGTTAAATACCTAGCTAGTTAGAATTTACATTTCTTGCTATAAAGTTTGAAATTTATGATAAAGAAATAATTTAGGTTGTAGATAGAGTTAAAAAGGTAAAGCCCATGTTGCCACAATCCAGGAAACATTTTTAAGGTTGTTTTTTCCTACCTACACATGTAGAAAATTATTCTGTGTTGACATTCATTTCTAGTTCAGATTAGGGGAGAGAAGGGCCCTTCTTGTTCACTTTATTTGATCCTCTAATGAAGTCATAAATTTACAATGATTCTGTTATATTATCAAACAGGAAACACTGGTAAGAAGGAAAAATCTTACGTTAAAATGTTTTAGAAGTTTCTAGATTACCTTTAAATTCCTAAAACTCAAAAATGAAATTATATAGACTCCTGCATTACAACTGTTTTCAAAGCTTTCCCCAGATTTTTTAAAGTCTGATTTTACTTATAATAAACATACATCTACTCCTCACTTATCATTATCAGCTATCTCATTATCTGACATTTACAACTATAGGATAAACACATCTATTTTGTGTATTAACAGTATATGTCTGGCAGTAACGAACACCGAGGTACAACGTGAGAGTAATGCTAAAACTCTGTTGGTTAAGGTCATGTGTAAGCTTGGCTAGGACATGATTCTAATTGGTTTGACAGTTATGTAATAATCTCAACTGATGCTGATTATCTTCCATTTTCAAATAACACTGATTGTCATATAACAACCTGGCCTTTGGAAACTAACCATGTTGATAAATGAGGAGTGGTGTGTGTTTCTTTTCTTTAAAGCAGCTATATTCCAGTATATAACTTTTGAGATATATCCATAAAACCAGTATAGCAGCAGAGTTTTTGAAACAGCTTTCCCAAAAGTTGCTTCAGATATGCATGTTCTGAATTTTATTGTATTTGTAGAATACATTTTTTATATTAAATTATATCTCCATCTATTTCTCAAAAATCCAGTTCAAATAGAGTAAAATATCCCAGAATAACTGTTTCTGTGTCCGTGACACTTGGTACATACCTTCAGAAACGAACAGTACAAACTATTGGTTGTGCATTATTTTACTTGTACAACTTTTTGGCATCTATCTATCACAAATGCATGTTTTCAAAACTCACCTTTATTTATAAGTGACAATAATTGAAGTTAAGGATACAAAGAACCTTCTGCATTTGTAGTCCAGAGTTTCAAGTGGTCCATAATGCAATGTATAGAAATGTGAAAGACAATTTTGTATATTTGTTTATTACTAACTGAGATCATTAAAATGAAAACAATTTTTTAAACAAAAGATTCAAATGTCTGTTTTATTTTTATTTTTTAAGAATTATAAAACTGAAGTATATAAGCGTCATCATATCATAGATTCCTCATAAAAAGTCATTAGGTACAAATGAAATAACCTTATGATCTAGAAATTCCTCTACTTGGTATTTACCCACAAGAAATACAAGCCACAACATGAGTAGATATATGCATACCAATCTTCATAGCAGCACTATTTATAATAGCAAAAAGATGGAGACAGCCTAAATGCCCATCAATTGAAGAATGGATAAACAAACTGTGGTACATACACACAATGGAATGTGTTCTTCCTAGAAGAACAAGGAAGTTGCAAGCCCCAGCATAACATGGATGAACCTGAGGACATTATGCTGAGTGAAAGTAGTCACAAAAGGAGAAATAATGCATAGGACCATTATTGTAAAAGACTAAGAAAAAGAACCCACCCTAAAAGGGGAAGAAAAAAAAATTATATATATAATTGCTGATCACTGGGATGTATGGGATGAAAGGAGAGGAGGGAGGGAGGAAAAGATAGAGCACAGGGTAGGGAATAGACACATAATAGCTTGGGTGCTGGGGGTGTTGGGGGGAGAACAGTGAGGCAGGTTCCCATGGACTAAGTGAGACAGAGGTAAATGATGATGTATGCACAACCTTGGAACAACAGGGCTTCAGGATACAGGGATTGAGGCATGGTTGGAATGGGTAAAAGGGGAATAATGTTAAGATGCTTGGCTGTGTTTTGAATCTTGGTTTCCTTTGCCTACCATTGTGAAGTAGACACTTGAAGGGGGTAGAAAGGAATAGCCAGAAACAACACAATAGAAAGCTTGTAAGT